AATAGCATGATTATAGATGGTAAAGAAATGGTTTTGGCCATGTCTCTGTACCAGGCTTTCACGGGCCCTATCTTCCCAGAGATAAACAGCCTTCAATTCACAGTCACTTCTTAACCATGCCATGACTTTCAGCAGCACTTACATTTGTGAGAAACTATTTTCAGGAATGAAGCAGGCTGGGGAGATGGCTCCTGGGTTCAATTTGCAATACCCACATGACAGATCACACATGTAACTCCAGTTCCAGGGTATCTGACACCCTTATACAGATATACATGTAGGCAAAACATCAATGCACACTAAAAAAAGAAAGGATGAAACAACTTAGAAGTAAAACAGAAGCAAAATATCTGACGAGGACTTCAAAAGAGGACTGACTGAGTACTGCAGCTCCTTCCCTCAATCACAGAGGGATGCCACAGTAGTGTTTTTTTATTTCATTAAAATAATTACATCATTACCTCCTCTTCCCGCCTATCCTTCCCATGTCCTACCAGTTCATACCCTCCCATATTCGTTGCCTTCTCCTCTTAAAACTATTTTTGTTACGTATACACATAAAACAATAAATAGAATCTGCTGAGTCTGTTCAATAGTGGCTTGCAAGAGCATAGGCTGTTAGTGTATTTTATATTGACGGCATTAGCCTTGATCATTTATTTACAGAGATGTCTGCTAGGTTTTTACAATGCAAGTTGTTTTTCATTTTGTCATTAGTAAATATTTTAAGAGAATCCCTGATATAGGGACTTTTTCTTTCTTTCCTTATGAAAACAATTCTTAACATTAAGTCATTTAGAAAACAGAGTTATAGTATCATAGGCAGAGCAATGGGATTACATGAGAAGTACCCAAACATAGTCTCTCCCAAATGTATAGTCTTCAGACACAAGAGGCAAGTGCTGTCTTAGTTAGGGTCCCTATACCTGTGAAGAGACACCATGACCTTGGCAACTCTTATAAAGGAAAACATTTAATTGGGGCTGGCTTACAGTTAAGAGGTTTAGTCCATGGTGGGAAGCAAGGCAGCATCCAGGCAGGCATAGTGCTAGAGAAGGAGCTTAGAGTTCTTACATTTTGATTCACAGGCAACAGGAAGTGGTCTGAGACATTGGGTGTAGCTTGAGCACATATGAGACCTCACAGCCTACCTCCACAGTGACACACTTCCTTCTGCAAGTACACATCTACTCCAACAAGGCCACACCCCCTAATACTGTTACTCCCTATGGGGCCCATTTGCTTTCAAATGTGCATAGACCCTCTACGGACAATATGCAACAAACCAATCAAGCAAGGGTCTCTCATTTCCTGATTCCTGTATCATTTGAATTTAGTTGCTCAGATCCTCCCAGGAGTAACATATGTAGTAAGTAAGAAAGGCATTTAATTTTAGGGACATCAGTAATAATAATAATAATAACCTCACTTTAAATTTAAAAAAGCAAAACTCACTTTCAACTCTTCTTATAAATCCATTCAAAGCAAGAAAGTGGGGAAGTTTCTGTTGATTTTAAGACAAAGTTCCAGGGAAGACTGCTGGACCACACTAACAATGACACTGTGCTGTGACCATGCTAACATGGGACTGTACTGTGACAGGCAATAATTAGGTTATAGAGGAAACTTAGAATAACCTCTTAAAGGATAAATTCACTAATCTTTCTAATGTTTCTGTGAGGTGCCTGAGCCACAAGCAAGTCCGAGGTATTAGGAGAAGAAAGACAAGACATCCAGCTGTTTTTATTAAGAGAATGCATGTGCTGCCTTTATTACCAGGAGTGTGTGTGTGAGTGTGTGTGTGTGTGTGTGTGTGTGTGTCTTTATTGCAATTGCTAAGAGGTCTCCCTCTTGTAGGAGGGAGCAGTCATATATATGTGTGCATATACATATATACAGGCTTACAGCACAGTGGAAAAACCCCAGTTGGAAGAGAGTGTATTTTCCTCATGCTAGATGTTGATGTCAGTGGGGCAATGCAGGGTCAGTAAGCCAGGACTAGAAAACAGGATGCACCTGTGGCTATCAGCTGACAAACAACTCAGAGACCCTGTGGGGGCTAGGACCAAACATTTCTGATTTTAATTGTGCTAAGTGTCCTATTTTAATAAAAGTTTGGAAACTGATGGGAAAATATCAAAAGTTGTTTCACCCCTGAAGATAAGGGAATCTTCTACTTTTTCATTATGGTTCTAGACCACTGAATTTTATTTATTTAAAATATGCCATGGACAGGTACCACTTTGCAACTGAAAATTAACCTGACAGGAAAAATTTTAATAAAAATCCAATTTCATATGCATAATAATGCTGTACTAAAAGGTGAAATGAAGAGAAAACCCATATTAAACTTGGCTCAATGAAAAATGGTCATTGAAGCATCTAAAGAACATTATTATGAGGTACCTGTATTATAAGAAATGCTTGAAACAGGGAGTCTAAGCTCATCTCAGACCCAGAGGGTTTTAGAACCAGTGATGAGTATTAGTGGCTCCGTTTCATATTGACTTAAGGTCATATGACTTCAAGCCCATTTTTGCTCTTTCAAGGTTAAATCCACAGTATGTTTGGCCTAAGATGTGGTTATTGTATGTCTTGCCTTGACAGCAGGATATCTGGCCTAAAGTGTAGCTAATGGATGTCTTACCTTAACAACAGGATATTTGGTTTAGGGTATGGTTACTTGATATTTTGAGTATTCAGAAGGTAATTATGCTTGCTTGTTCTTTGTATCTTGGTAAGGAAGTCTTTAGCCTTCCCTCCTTTTGACTGAGGTATAAAGAGCTTGGGTAATAAACTGGGGCCGATCCTGGTGTTCACCAGGTACCCTCCAGACTATTGTCTAATTCTTTCCTCAACCCACACTTCCTCCTTCCAAGCACAGACCAGGTAAGTCTGCTGGACCAGACTGGAGTGCGAATGTTTAGATGAAACATACATAGTGACAGACTCAGAAGTTCACAGTTTAACCATGCAAAATTAAAGAAGGCATTGAGTTGTCATCATTTTAAATCCTGGCCCATTAAAAAAACTGCTTTTGGTGGGGCCTTGGTGGCGCACACCTTTAATCCCAGCACTCGGGAGGCAGAGGCAGGAGGATCTCTGTGATTTCAAGGCCAGCCTGGTCTACAGAGTCAGTTTCAGGAAAATCTCCAAAACAATACAGAGAAACCTTGTCTCAAAAAACCAAAACAGAAAAAAAATGCTTTTGTTTTGTGTTTAATTTTATTTTATGAGGATGGGTGTTTTGGCTCTATGTTTGTATACCATGTTAGTGCATTGCCCGGGGAGGCCAGAAGAGAGATTTGGATCCCCTGAAACTGGGAGTTACCATGTGAGTGCTGGGAATTGAACTACTGTCCTCTGGAAGAGTCACTGATCCAGTCCCCTGACCCAAATTTTATAATTAGAGGACTGAAGGGGACTGAGAAAAAACTAATGGGTATTTCTAAAAAAAATTAATGGATTGAGAGTAGTGGAATTCACTAAAACATTTGAAATATTGCCAAAATTATGTAATGTGAAATGGTCAAAGGGAGGAAATACCTTTAAAAATGATTCTAGATACTGAAGAGAGGAACCACTGGGGCTTGACCAGGCTTAAGGAGCAGGGTTCTGTGGTGCCTGAAGATTAGAGTGCAAAGGTAGCCACACTAGTTAGCCACAGAGGCCAGGCAGTGGTGGCTTTAATCCCAGCAGCCACACTAGTTAGCCACAGAGGCCAGGCAGTGGTGGCTTTAATCCCAGCAGCCATACTAGTTAGCCACAGAGGCCAGGCAGTGGTGGTACACACCTTTAATCTCAGCACTAGAGAGAAATATAACGTGGGTGGACACAGGAGTAATTGAACGTATTGAGTCTGCAGTCTGCAGTCATGTTGAGGACAGGATCACCCCAACCTCGGTGGAGGTAAGAACTCTCTCGTAGCTGGCTGCTTTGCTTTTCTGATCTTCAGGTCTCCGGGTTTTTATTATTTGTGCCACAGGGTTCCTCTTTGTGGAGTGCTAGGCTCCTCTTTCTCCAGCACCTGGGCCACCCCCTTCTCTCCACTCACTAAAGATAAGGGTCCGGATTCCATCTACAACTCCAAAGAAGCCACTCAGAGCATAGCTATCCAGTTTGTACACTCTTAAACAGAAGGTAAACATCAGAACACGATGTAAAACAGTTTAGCATGAACCGGTCCTGTTGCAAAAGTTTTTTTTTTTAATTAAGCAAAACCAATATTTAACAAATGTTACCCTTGAAGAAGCACATTTGTTATTCTAAAGACGTTTAAATTAACATAAAATCGCCAAAATATATTTTAAGCATCTGTTCATTTTTTAAAGTTTAGCATTTAATTCAGTGGCTGTGTTGTTTTTCTTTAGTTTTCCACGTGCACTTAATTTTGTGCAGTTAAAATACTGCAATAGTAAAGATACATTTGTGGCTGTGTTAGAGGAAAGACCTTGTGTAAACTTGTTAAACGACTCATGTCATTTTAAACAGTGCATGTTCTTAATTTCTTGGAGACCTTTTATTTTCTGTTGTGGTAAAATTCTAGATTCAAAACAAGACTTGTGTCACTGACAGTGAGGCTTGTAGAGGTAATCAAAGAGGAAAGTGATCCTCTAGAAGCCTAGGGGAAACTTCCAAAGATTCTTGTGTACTCTTTGTGTAGTTAAGACTCGACACCAAGGTAGACTTACTTCTTTCCGTCGCGGGACTGGGAGACCCGCCACCTCCTCTGCACCTGTCTCAGCGAAGTTTCTTTTCCGGAGGTCAAAGGCAGTTTTCCTCCTAGCCCTTACTCCTCTGGCTTCTCCCTGCTGCCTGACGCCATGTGACAGCCCCTAACACCTGTACAGCCACCAGCTTCACAGCGCCCCCATCCTCCTCGCCAGGTACCGACCAGGCCAGGCTCGGTCTTCCTCAGGAGGTCACGATCACGGAGCTAGCCAGGCTCGGCCGACAGGGGAGGGGCTGAGCCTGGGCCAGAGCCGCAGCCCGAGCCCGCGCAGCCTGATTATCACATGACTAGACGACGGTAGCGGTGGCAGCCGGAGCGGCGGGTCCGCGGGCTCGCCGAGTGGGCTCAGTTCCGCGCACGCAGGAGCCGGGCGCAGGGGGCGGGGAAGCGACCCGCCGCAGCCGCCGCCCGCCAGCCGCTCCCGGGGCTCTCGCTGGCCCTCCCTAGCCGCCCGCCCGCTCCATGTCGCCCGGTTGCGGAAGTGTCGCTGGGAGAGGTGGCGGCGGCGGCAGCCGGGAGCACGGGAGGCCGGGGCTCGCCCCCCTGCAGCACTGAGCTCCGGGAGCCGCGCGCTCCAGCGGCCCGGCTGGCTCCCCGTGCGCCCCGCACCCGCCGCAGCCTGCATGCCCCGCGCTGCGCCTCGGCCGGCCGCCGCCTCCTGCTCGCCCAGCGGCTGCCCGGCGCCGGAGTAATATGCTCACTCGGGTGAAATCTGCCGTGGCCAATTTCATGGGCGGCATCATGGCTGGCAGCTCCGGCTCCGAGCACGGCGGCAGCGGCTGCGGTGGCTCGGACCTGCCCCTGCGCTTCCCGTACGGTCGGCCGGAGTTCCTCGGGCTGTCTCAGGATGAGGTGGAGTGCAGCGCAGACCACATCGCCCGCCCCATCCTCATCCTCAAGGAGACTCGGCGGCTGCCCTGGGCCACGGGCTACGCAGAGTGAGTGCACCCGCTCCCCGCTCTCCTCGCTGCCCTTCCCCGCACGGTTTCAGCCCCTTCCTCTCCCTGCTTCGGGGCTCTGGGGCTCTCGACCGGTTCCGGCCTCCAGGCCTCGGCGAGAACCTCTTTACTTCCACTGACTAGTTCCCTTCCCCCCTCTCCCCAGACCCCCGGGTATCGATGGGTTCTCCGGGCCGGGCGGTGGGTGGCAGAGCGGATGGTAGCTGCGCAGGACCGTGGGAACGCTGAGGTTGGACTGGTCTTATAATAAGGGGTCTGTGACACTTCGGAGGGGAAAAGTGGGCAAAACAGCTTTGCTGAAGTTGCAACATAGTAGGAAGACCCTGATGTCCGTGCCCACCCTCCAAAAAAAAATCATTGTTCCCCCGCGCGAAGAGTTTGGTGAGGTGAAGGCTCGCAGGATGTGTGCCCCGAGGCGGCCGGCTGGGTGCGCGTGACTGCGTTCGGCAAGGTCTTTCTTTCTGAGTTCCTGGGGCTTTCGAGCAGGTAGTGAGCGCCACTCGACCCGGTAAAATGCCACTGTCGTTTCCCACAATCCTTGGGAAGGTAGAAACTTACTCCAGGCGTCAAATACAGCATTTTAGTAATCAGCTTTTGCGATTAAGCGAGCTCCGGAGTGATTTGCTATTTTGAAAACAGACTGAGTTAGGCTACAGGGCCAGACATGGGACGGGGCGGAAAGGTTTCGTTGCCCCTCCCCTACTCCAAGGCCACTTCTCCATTGACTATTAATAACCGTCTTGTGAATGGTGGGATAAGTAATGTTTTCCCTACCTATTATCTACTATTTAGCTTTGTGGAACTAGCAGACTAGGAAGGGTGAGGGGATTTGGACCAGAACCCTGAGGTTAGTGACTGTGGACCCAAAAGCACTCCAAGCCCGGTGTTCGGCATACCTGCCCCCTTCCCTTGACACCTCCTCTATAATCTTGGCCATCCCCAACCGATGCACGATGTCTCCCTCTGATTGGTTCATCCGGGAACCAATCAATTTCTCCTATGCCTGGGCGCCTCAGTGCTGACCCGGTTCTGGTGGCTCGGATCCCCCCCAGCAGGCGTGGTTCCCTACGAGCTGGGTTCCGTTGCAGGAAGTAGGTGGCTTGCAAAGCAATCTGCCTCGAATCTTCTTTTTCCTCCCGCGTCATCGCTGTGGTCGTGACTCCACGCGCTTGTGTACAAATGGGGATTGATGACTGGCATGTGAAGAGAGGAGCGGGAGGATTGGGTGTGTGGGCTGGTTAGGTGGGTGTATGACATAAAAGCAGGCAAGCGTGAAAGAGAAGCAGCAAGGGGGAACAAAACAACCCCATAACCTCCAAGAGGAAGCCTGTGTGGGGAAACCTAACGGGGGGAGGGCGAGGGGGTGCACCTGCTAATTCACACCAGCAGTTCTTTGCCTGAAAAAACAAAAGTTTAAAAGCCTATTTGGTCCCTTTGCAAGGTCAAAAGCAATTGGAGAGGTACAGTCCCATAACTGTATACTTGGAGGTTTGATGCCGGTGGTTTGGTGGCGCGTGGCTACCTGAGGATCTGTCCTACTGGCAGTGGGAATTTCTAGGACACAGTGGACGGGAAACCTCACAAAAAGTGGGAAGAAGGGGAAAGGAAAGAAATTTTCAGTGAAAAGTAGGAGCAGGAAGCTGGATGGCTCTACCTCCCAACACACAGGTACCCCCTACTAAGCCCCGTTTCCTCCTCTACAAGAGGTCTGTCTTATTCTAGACTAGAACATGAGAGATGTTTCACTCCAAGGCTAAAAAAGTCACTATAAAAGCTTCAACTTTTAAGAAATAGTTAACAGGTACTACTGTGTACCTGCTAATTCACACAATGATCTTCAGGAATGAGTCGGCTCCACCACCCTACCCCAGGACCCTCAGTTTTGGGAGTGTGCGCTTCTCTAAACGTTTGACTGTACCTTTGAACACTTCCGTGTTCTTCCCCCAGACAGGATCCTAGTTGGTGTTACTCTGTAGAATTTTCACAAAGCACTGTGTCAGAGACATCTTTCCAACTCAGTGTGGGTAGAATTCCATTGTCCTGGCTCTCACCTTTAAACAGGTTCTCTTTACTACCCAGACATCCTGGTCTCCCTACCTCAGCTTCCGGAGAGACCTCATTCTTCTAAACTGTGTTATAGTTTCCATAATGTTTATGTAATGCTGGGCATTCTTTAGTATTTTCAAGTTCATATCAGGCCATCTAAGTATCACAACAGTCCTACTATTTCTACTTCACATGAGAACACAGGTATGAAATGGTAAAGCAACTTGCCAATGTTAATACAATCTGTATCTGAACCCAGAGAGTCCAACTACAGGGCCCATGATGCCAAACTCCCTATCTTTGAATCCTTCTGACCCAGGACATGTCATTAACAGTGTCACTAACATCTCTCCTCATGCCTACTTTCGACAGGTACAATAGTGTATCATATTATTATTCAAACCTCTATCATTTTTCTTTTTAATTAGTATATTATTACAAAATTTATATGTAAATATGATAAATTTTCTTTATAACTTTTCAAGAATCCATCCTAAGTGATTTTAAAAAAAGGAAGGAAGAAGGAACTGGGGGTATGATCAGAGTTGTCTTTTCCTAGAAAGGAACGGGGAAGCAGAAATCTCTTTTCTTCATTCTAGACAGATCCTGAGAGGGATACAGTAGGTGGGAAGATTATTTAAATGGTGGAAACAGAAGAATCCCTTAGAACCTAGTCCTTTGATTCTGTCTCTTAAGTTTGAAGTTAGGCCTAGTGATACAGCCTGTAATCCCAGCCATTTGGGAGGTTGAAGCAGGAGGATCTCAGCTACTCAGGAAGCTAAAGTAAGAGAATCATAAGTTATATAGCCTATCTGAGGTAGAGTGAGTTCAAGACAAGGCTGGGCAACTTAGTGAAACCATGTCTCATAATAAAAAGTAGAAAGAAGGCTAGAGATATCTGTACACACACACACACACACACACACACACACACACACACACTTCAGTGGAAGAAGGCGTCTGGCTCCAAGATCTCCAGGAGAGAAGGCCATCATCTGGTGACTGGGATGCTGGAGAAAGGGCTTTGGCCTATGATGTTGATGACCCACCATTTTGGATGGTAGAAGACGGTCTATTTTATCATTTATTAACAATCCCTTTTAAGAAGAGAGTCTGTGTGACGGGATTAGAGAATCAGCTATAAGCAATCACTGTAGTCCTGGGGATGCCGAGACTCAAGACCCTCTCCCATCTCAGAACTGTGTTAATGGGATTTCCTTCCACCTTGAAGAGTTTCTTGTTGGGGGTGGGATGTAACCACTAGATCAGCAAGAGATTCTCAACCTGTGGGTCGATATTAGGCATCCTGCATGTCAGATATTTACATTACTATTCCTAACAGTAGCAAAATGAAATGATTTTATGGTTGGGGGTCCCCACAACATGAGGAGCTGTCTCAAAGAGTCCCAGCATTAGGAAGGGTGAGAACCACTGATCTAGATTAAGGGATATTTGCCAGGTCAGGAAGCTCTTGGAAGCGCTGCAAAATAGACGGATATCTTTTTTAAAACATGCATTAGCTAGTTCCATTTTGAGTCTTGGCTTTGAAATCACTGACTGAGCCTGTGAGGTCTACCCAGAGAGCACCCAGGGGAAGCCACCATCTGACCCAGAGACTATGGGGACAGACACTTCCTTACCATCCCACAAGTTCAGATGCCACAAAGGTAGTCCCAGTGGTGCAGGAGCCTGAGGTCAGCTCATACTTTTAATAGGTTGTAATCTTTTTTTAACTTAAAAAAAATCTGTCTAACTAACTTCTACTGTTCAGGCAGACTCAGACATGCAGGCAATAATGGAGTTTTTGCTTACGTGCCAAAGAATGAGCCAGTGTTTTTTGAGAAACACTATTCTGTGTATTAAGTGTCATTTAAGTTTTACTAATGATACATCTTTTTCCATAATAATAATGGTGTAATTTTGCATGTAAGTAACTGAATGTTTCTCCTTTGTTATATATTTTCTAATAAAGGTACCACTGGGTATGGATTTTTAAAAAATGTCAACTCTTAAACATCACTTTGAGAACCTTTGTTAAATGTGCATTAGGTAATTTCGTTGAGTCTCATGGAGTTAGTTCTGAATTGTGACTTTTGAACAAAATAACCTTATTAAAACCCAGAGACCAACTCACAGGTGTTTGAATTTGTTTTAGAATCTGTAGGCCACTCACTCCATCTCTCAGTGAGTACTCACTGGTACTAAAGTACTCAGTGGTACTCAGTGGTACTAAATACCAGCTGCCAACAAATAACATTTCCTAGTCTGGCTTCCCCTGGCATACTCATTTTTCTTTCATACACCTTTTGTGGAATTACTTCAGAACTTCCTGTTCGACCTTTGCAACTGTGGAAACTGAAGGCTTTCTGTCCACTTATGGTTGAGAAAGGATGAGAAGAAGCAGGGGTGGGCTGATCAGTGAGACACCCTGTCCATAGCATTTACCTGCAGGTGATCCAGAAGTCCAAGGAGCCGAAGATGTTTCCTCTGCCTCTGTGATAACTTTCAGAAGACTTTAATTTTCCAGATTCCAAGTTCATTCCAAGATGGCACAACTGTGGCAGCCATTTTTCCTTCCAGGACTCCTTGTGCTTTCTGGAACTGGATTTAGCCATTCTGACAGGTGTATTTACCTGCAGTAGGACTCTGTTTGGGTAGACAATATCATGCATGATGTGACAATAACACACCCTGGTTTTCTGGTTTTGATGATGGCAACTCCACCTGGTAACTTTACCCTGAAACATGTACTTGTTTCCTTCAGACACATATGGTTCAAGACAGTTTTCTTTGTGTTTGGTAGAGAAATATTTTTAAGTGTCTTGAGTTTTCTAATTTGCCTAATCTAAAGATAAATTTAGCTTTTTCACTCTGAAGTTGTGCCCTTTTTAAGAGAAATAAACATAGCTCATCTGCTTTTGTTATTTCCCAAT